AAAAAAAAAAAACCAAAAAAAAAAAAAAAAAAAACCACATAGAATGTTCTTCCTGAGAGAAGTTCTGGGAGATACAATTTTTTCTCTATACTGTCATATTTCCACAAGGGAATTGTCAGGCATCTTCTCACTTTAGCTTCCTGGACTGACAAGTCAGCGCTACTCTATAAAGGGAGAAATCACTAGATAAAAAAATGAAACTAAAACCTTGATCAGAGTCAACATCACGGTAGGGTATGGAAAAAACAGGAACAAGGGAAAGTGATGTGGCCAGGGAATTTAGAGAATTGAAATTTAATCTCACCTCCTTTTGTATATCCCTAAAAGCTGTTAGCACCTGACAGAAGACAAAAAAATTATGGAAAAATTAATGTTATAGATTTTATTACAAGAGGATTTTATGTATAGAATCTCCCAGTCATTAGGCTGTATAATGTGAATGCCAAGATACTATGGCTTCCTAGCTCTAGCAATAAAACCCATTGACTTCACTCTACATGTATTTCTGGGCCACCATTTCTCCATATGGTAAATGGGTGAAATACAGGAAATTATTTAAAGAGGGCTGAGTAGTGAAAGGAACGTAAATGAAACCCACTATTATATTTCATTTATGTTTAATTGGTTCTTGTTCTGAAGCTAAGCATAGCTGTTAAAATCAACACATATTTGTTTTTAGATTATAATACACAGGAGGTCACCACCAAATGTTGGTGAGGATATAGAGCAGCTGGAAATCCCATACATTCTTGGAAGGAGTGTAGAATTGTATGACCACTTTGGAAAAAGCTCTGACAGTTTCTTGTAAAAGTAAATATGTACCTATGCGCTCACCCAGCCATAGATGGATATGATGATGGAAATCTGAGCTGCCTCGTTTCGAGGAAAGGATGAAGACTTCAAAACAGATAGTTGTTTCTTGTTTGGTGGAAATATAGAGTTGTTTTTGTTGATATTCAGGAGTTTCAACATGTGTATAAGGGTGCATATGGAAGCTGAATAGTCAATGGGGTGGACTGTGCCAGTTATCAATTAATTGCCTCTCAGCAACCTTTTGTTCACTCTTTGTTATGTCATATTCACCCTTTATTATATCAATTATATCATAATCCAATTATGTACTGGTTCCCAACAGGACGGTTTTCTGACTGTTACCATAAGCAACTTACTCTTTAGCTAATACGGTAATTGTAAGAACACTAAATAGTTATTCTAATATAACATTTTAATTAAGAGGATTATTTCCTTTTGTAGAATTTTTGAAAGTCACAGAGAATAAAAAAGTTGATCACATTACTCATTTCATATAATATTGTTCAATGGGGGCCTGCAGGAGAGGCTGTGGAGACTTGCACTCACTTTTAATAAAAATTCCATAGTCATTGATTTAGTAAACAGTGTTTTCCTTCTTGCCTCCTTATGGAAAGTTGATATTCTAGGTTCAAAAGGAATAAATTGTCCTCTAATTCTTGTCCGTATCCAAAAGTTTAAATGTACATGCAATCGAATGTCAAGATTGGGAAGTTGAAGTAGCTGATATTTTTGGGAAGCCCTCAGCAACTCCAAGTAAATGTCTGTGTCCTATGAAAGTTCACAGTAGTTGGCTCTGGCTATCTTATGGGCATAACTAGCTTCTACACTGATACACCATTCAAATATAAAGTGAAATTTGGCATTTTCATGTTTGAGAATTGGCCACCTTTATTGTCATTTTCATATAGCTGGGAAACCAAGAACATTCTATCAAAGTGAAAAAAATATCAGTTTTTACAGAATTAAAAGAAGCTACTCTCAAATTCATTAAATTTAAGTCTATTTTAAAACAATTTCAAAAAGCAGTGCTTAATAATGTAGATTCTGAGACTGACTGCTCATGGCTTTTCTTCGGTTAGAAGACTAAAGGCAATAAATTCCCATTGGTGACCTAATGAGCCTATTTATCATTTTCAACTTATAGTTTTCAGATCCCAAAGCACTCTCTTGTTAGGATTCAATGATTTCATTCATTATTGAACATCTGATTTAATTATCTTCTACAAAGGAAAACATTTTTTAGACTAGATCTCTTTAAACCAATTTAGATGATTTAATCTAATTTCCTTGAAATGAAGTTAAAGTACTGTCTTTTTCCTAACCATAGAAAGGGCAGTTCTTTTTCACATCCAAAGTACAGACTCATATTCTTTTACTTTCTTCTCAACACTTTACATCTCTCCAACAAATAGCAGGTCTGAGTTTCTCGAATATACTAAATTAAAGAACAAGAAAACTCCAGGCATCCTTTTCTACCGTTAGTCATTATTCTCATTTTAAATTATTGTCAATAAATTTGGGAATCTTGAGGACATTTTGAAGCATTTAAATAATTTTGTTGGCAATCTCTGGTACCACGGAGCGAATCTGGCATTCATGCGCCTTCAGGATCTGTGTTAAAATACTCTTTTGAAATTCAGAACAAGTAGAAATGCCTTAGTAACAAAGGAGTTTACCACAATAAATAATGCAAAGCATAATGGTGTCACAACTATTGAGGTTACACTGAAATTGTATCTGAATGACTTAATCCAATTTTTGTGTCTTATAATGTCTTGATATAGACCTCCAGCCATAGCCAATGGGAGAAAACAATCCTCCTCTGTGCTGATGACAAAATCCCAATCATGTTCCAGGCAAGAGTTCCGGAAACAATGGGACCACTTGGCATGTTACTCTTGGAAACAACAGCTCACTAGCAATTATGCAAAAATTAATCATTTTTATGAACTTAATTTGCCATTCAAATGGATAAAACTGAACACTTCTACTCTTCAAGTTGATTCATTTATTTTTTGAGTAGTATATTTTAAAGTTAACTCATTCTGGAGGAGCCAAATCTTTCAGAAAATTATGTTTTATGATGTAGGAATCAAGGGCCACAGTCAAGTATTTGTCAGATTGAGTGGCTCCAGAGGTAAAATAACTTATTTCTGATCAGAAATGGAGTTAGGATCTTTAATTTTCATAACAAAATGATAATTTTGCCTTCTTGAGAGTTAAAGTATATGGCTTTCTCTGTACTTGCCCTAAGGTGCTAGCTAGAGAATGAGATTTAAGTTATTCATTATATAGTTCCTATTAAAAGGCTGGCAGAGAAAATATATTTGAAAGGGCTTATCTAATGGATAGGTGGATGTGGAGAAGGGGCACTGAGATGCTCAGACAGGAGGAGTCTCTAAGGATTTGGGACTGGATGAGTAATAGAACAAAATGAGAAGGAGCATGGTAATCCTTCACCATCAATCACCCAAGTTACTCAAAGGAAAATTAAGAAACTTACTTCTTTCTTAAACCCTCTCTCCCTTCTCCCACCTCTTACCATGCCGTCAAAGATGACCCCTCTGTACTCACCTGGTCCCACAGGGCTTCAGTGATTGTTAACTGTACTTCCTGTTGAAGTAAGAGACAAATCTTGGAAACATTACCGTAACTCTCCCAAAATTTGAATTGACACATCATGAAACTGATAGATTATAAGATATTTTTTGGAATTGAGACGAAAACTTGTCATCCCATTTGTCAAGCAGCCCAAAGTCTTCTTCAGCCCTTCTGAGTCATTTTCAGCTCATATCTCCTGTCATCTCTTGTTCTAGCTGGTGGGTGACAGGTATAAACAGACTCATGTGTTTATCCATTTTATCAATACCCACATAACCTGTCTGCTCTTGGAGTCATTTAGTGCAGTAGTGGCAATGAAGGTGTACCTACTCTTGGTAGACAATGACCCACCAGCTGGTCAAGAGCATCCCCAGCTACAATGCCTGAGTCCTCCAAGATATGGTCCTTGTTAGGCAGCTTTCCTGCCTCCTGGCCACAGACACTTCTCTGCTTTCCCCAAGATCCAGAAGCCCAAAAGAACCAGTGTATTTGGAAGTTTTACCCACCGTTGGTCTCATTGTATCTTCAATGGATTTTCTAGAAAGAAAAGATGATATAAATCTGATGAGGCACTGGGTGAATGATGTCAGCAATATGGCAGAATAGGAGATTCCAGCCCACATACCCCCCACAGAAACATCAATTTTGACAACCACTCATGGACGAGAATACCTCTGTGGGAAACCAGGAGTCAAATGGAGAAATTCCAGCACCTCATTCAAAGAAAAATCCATGAATACATGCATTGAAAAGGATAAGAAAAACATTTTAATTTTACCTATGTCACCTCTCCCCAAAGGCAGCTTAGCTTAGTGCCAAGAGAGACCCTCTCAGCCTGTGATTTCTCCCATGGTGGAAAGCAAGAGAGAAATGAGCATCCTCCTTCTCTAGCCTCGTGAGACATTGCCCAAGAAGCACACTTCTGCCTCACCCCATCCAGATCACTAAAGTGATCAGCACAGGCAAATAGCCTGAGGGGAGCTGGGAACAGAGAAAAGGGTGGGTACTCACAGCAGCTACCACATGGAACTCAAAAACCACCTGCAGATCCTACTAGCTGGTTTGTAGACTCCATCAAGTGGCCCACCCATGAACTCCATGGGACTCCCCACCTGCAGGTCCCTCCTCTCAACTGACTGACACATGCCCCCAGCTCTGTACACACACCCCAAGATGGTGCATGCAAACCTCTGCAAATGGCAAGTGCAAACCTCTGCAGACAGTATGTAGATATCAGCAGCTGGCTCAACTAAGTGGGAATGGGAGAAGGCATACAATCTTGAAAGCTCCGGGGCACCACCCTGGGGAAAATAAACAAGAGGCTCTCGGCACCCAGATTGACTTTATAGGATCAAGAGAAGACACAAATCCTAAGCCATCCTCAAGAGGAAACAAGAAGATAGGGGTAAATTCACCCGCAGAAAAGGCCTGAGAGACCCCTAAAACCTTTATTTGGGCTAATTGGTGAGGGTCTTTCACTCTCAAAGCCAGTCAATAAAAACTGAAAAAGGAGACTGCTTCTTCAAATGCAAAGACAGCAACACAAGAATTCAGGGAACATGAATAATCAATGAAACATAACACCACCAAAGGAACAAAATAAAGCTCAAGTGATGGGCCCCAAAGAAACGGAAGTCTATGAATTGCCTGACAAACAATTCAAAATAATCATATTAAAGAAGCTCAGTGAACCATAAGGGAACATAGACAACAATGGAAATAAGGAAATCAATACATGAACAAAATGAGAAGTTCATCAAAGAGATAGAAACCATAAAAAAAAACCAAACAGAAGTTCTGGAGCTGAATAATACAATGACTACACTGAAAAATGCAATAAAGAGCTTCAACAACAGACTCGATCAAGTAGAAGAGAGAATCATTAAACTCAAAGACAGAAAATTTGAAATATAGACCAAGGAACAAAAAGAAAAAAGAGAGCAAAAGAGTGAAGAAAGCCTATGTGACTTAGGGGATACCATCAAATGACACAATGTAGGCATTTTTGGGAGCCCCAGAAGGAGTAGAGAAAGAGAAAGGGGCAGAAAGCTTATTTAAAGAAATAATGAAAAAAACTTCCCAAATCTGGGGAAGGAAATGAACATTCAGATCCATGATGCTCAAAAATCTTAAAGAGGCTGAACATCGAGAGATCTACACTGAGACATTATAATCAAATTTTCTAAAGGCAAAGACAAAGAGAATTTGGAAAGGAGCAAGAAAAAGTGAATTGCCACATACAAGAGAACTCCCAAAAGACTATCAGTTGACTTTTCAGAAGATACCTTATAGGCCAGGAGGGAGTAAGATGATATAGTCAAAATATTAAAAGAAAAAACCGCTAATCAAGAATAATTTACCTGGTGAAGCTATCCTTCAGAAATGAAGGAGAGAGAAAGACTTTCCCAGACAAACAAAAGCTGAGGGAGTTCATCACAACTAGACCTGGCATACAACAAATGCTAAAGGGAGTTCTTCAAGTTAAATGAAAGAATGTTAAGCAGCAGAATGAAAACATGAAAGTATAAATCTCACTGGAAAAGGTAAGTATGCAGTCTAATTCAGAATACGTTATATAGTCTGATACAGAATACTATAATGGTGGTGCTTAAATCACTTTTAATGCTAGTATAAAAGTTAAAACACAAAAGTATTAAAAATAACTATAGCTACAATAATTTCTTAATGGATACATATTATAAAAAGATTGAAATAGTGACATCAATAACATAAAATGTAGGTGATGGGTGAAAAAAATGTAGAGTTTTTGTATGCAATTGAAGCTGTTCTTAAAATAGACTTATACTATAAGGTGTTTCATGTAAGCCTCATGGTAACCACAAAGAAAAAACCTCTAGTATATACACAAAAGATAATGAGAAAGGAATCAAAGCATATTACTACAAAAATTCAGCAAATCACAAAGGATGAAGCAAGAGAGGAAGAAAGGAACAAAGGAACTACAAAATGGTCAGAATACAACAATATGGCAATAGTGGTTATTGATAATTACATATCAATAATTATTTTAAATGTAAATGGATTAAATTTTCCAATAAAGTAACATAGTGGCTAAATGGATTAAAAAAAAACAAGATCAAACTATATGCTGCCTATAAAAGACTCACTTTAGCTTTAAGGACACACACAGGCTGAAAGTGAAGGGATGGAAAAAGGTATTCTGTGCAAATGGTAAACAAAAGAGAGCAGGAGTAGCTATACTTACATCAGACAAAACAGATTTTCAGTCAAAAACTGTCACAAAAGAAAAAGTTGTTATATAACGAAAAGAATCAACTCATCGAGATGATATGACAATTATAAATATGTTTGCACCTAACATTGGAGCACCTAAATGCATATAGCATATATAAGTAGAATTGAAGGGAAAAATAAACAGCAATAATAATAATGAACTTCAATACCCCACTTTCAACAATGGATAGATCAAGCAGACAGACTATCAATAATGAGCTAGCAGACTTGAATAACACTATAGACAAAATAGATATAACAGACATACACAAAACATCCCATCCAACAGCAGCAAGATACGCATTCTGCTCAAGTGCACACAGAACATTCTCCAGGAAAGATCATATGTAGAGCTACAAAGCAAGTCTTAACAAATTAAAGATTGATAGCATATCATGTATCTTTTCTGACCACAATGGTATTAAACTAGAAATCAATAACAGGAGGAAATTTAGATACAATATATGGAAATTAAATGACACACTCCTGAACAACTAATATGTGAAAGAAAAAGTCAAAAGAATCAAATAAATAAAAATATAAATGAAAGAGAAGACATCACAACTGATACCACAGAAATACAAAGATCATAAGAGACTACTATGAAAAATTATATGTCAACAAATTGGATATTCTAAAAGAAATGGATAAATTCCTAGAAACATACAACCTTCTATGACTGAATTATGAAGAAATAGAAAATCTGAACAAACCAATAACAAGTAAGGAGATTTAATCAGTAATCAAAAACCTCTCAACAAAGAAAAGCTGAGGACCAGATGGCTTCATAGGTGAATTCTATCGAACATTTAAAGAATTAATGCCTATCCTTGTCAAACTCTTCCAAAAAATTGAAAAGCAGGGAACACTTCCAAACTCATTTTACAAGGCCAACATTGCTCTCATACGAAAGCCAAATAAGGATACTACAAGAAAAGAAATTATAGGCCAATATTCCTGATGAACATAGATGCAAAAATCTTCAACTAAATACTAGCAAACTGAATTCAACAGCACATTAAATGGATCATACACCATGATCAAGTGGTATTTATCCCTCAGATACAAAGATGATTCTATATACACAAATCAATAAATGTGATACACCACATTAACAAAATGAAGGATAAAAATCATATAATACTCTAAATAGATGCGTAAAAATAATGTGATAAAATTTAACATCCATTCATGATAAAAACTCTCAGAAAATTAGATACAGAAGAAATTTACCTCAACGTAATTAAGGCCATTATGACAAGCCCACAGCCAACATCCTACTCAATGGTGAAAAGTTAAAGCTTTTCCTTTAAAATCAGGAGCAAGATAAGGGGGTCCACTCTCACCACTCCTATTCAACATAGTACTGGAAGTCGTAACCAGAACAATTAGACAAGAAAAAGAAATAAAAGGCATCCAAACCCGAAAGGAAGAAGTAAAACTGTCTCTGCAGATGACGTGATCTTACATATAGAAAACCCTAAAGACTCCACCAAAAAATTGTTAGAACTAATCAACAAATTTAGTAAAGTAGCAGAATACAAAATCAACATTAAAAAATCAGTTGTGTTTCTAATAATGAACATATTGAAAATGAAATTATGAAAACAATCCCATTTACAATAGTATCAAAAAGAATAAAATAATTAAGAATAAATGTAACCAAGGATGTGAAAGATATGTACATTGAAAACTATAAGACATTGATGAGAGAAATTGAAGAAGACACAAATAAATGGAAAGATATCCTATATTCATGGATTGGAAGAATTAATATTGTTAAAATGTCTATACTACCCAAAGCAATCTGCAGATTCAATGCAATCTCTACCAAAATTCCAATGGCATTTTTCACAGAAATAGAATAAACAATCCTAAAAAACAAATCCATTTCCTTTTGTATGGACCCATAAAAGACCCTGAATAGCTAAAGGAATCCTGAGAAAGAAGAACAAAGCTGGAGGCATCACATTTCCTGATTTCAAACTATACTAAAAAGCTAAGGCAATTAAAACAGTATGATACCAGCATAAAAATAGACACATAGACCAATGGAACAGAATATACAGTCCAGATTTAACCCCTGCATATCTGGTAACCTGATATTTGACAAAGGAACCAAGAACACTCAGTGGGGAAAGGATAGTCTCTTCAACAAATGGTGTTGGGAAAACTGGATAAACACATGCAAAAGAATGAAATTGGGCCTTTATTTTGCAACATGCACAAAAATAAAACATGGATTAAAGATTTAAACATAAGACATGAAACTGTAAAGCTCCTAGAAGAAAACAAAAAGAAAAACTCTTTAATATTATTCTTGGCGATGATGTTTTAGATATGACACCAAAAGCCCAGGCATCAAAAGCAAAATTAAACAAATGGGACTACGTGAAACTAAAAAGTTTCTGGACAATGAAGGAAACAATCAACAAAATGAAGAGGCAACCTATGAAATGGGAGAAAATATTTGCAAACCATATATCTGACAAGGGGTTAGATCCAAAGCATATAAGGAACTCATACAACTCAACAGTGAAAAAACAACCCAATTGAACAACGGATGAAGGACCTGAACAGACACTGCTTCAAAGAAGATATACAAATGGCCAACAGGTATACAAAAAATGCTCAACTTCACTAATCAAACCACAATTAAAACCACACTGAGATATCACCTCACACTTGTTAAAATGGTTATTATCAAAAAGACAAGAAATAACAAGTGATGGTTGCTATTGAGAAAGATATTACCAAATGATCTCACTTATCTGTGAAACTAAAAAAAAAAAAAAAAAACAACTGAGCTCATTGATACAGAGAAAAGATTGGTGGTTGCCAGAGGTGAGAGATGGTGGGGCTGGGTGAAATGAGTGAAGGAGTCAAAAGGTACAAACTTCCAGTTATAAAATAAATAAGTCATGTGGATGTAATGTACAGCATAGTGACTGTAGTTAATAATTAATAATAGTCAATACTACTGTATTGAATATTTGGAAATTGCTAAGTGAGTAGATCTTAAAAGTTCTCATCACAAGAAAACATTTTTTGTAGCTATGTATGGTGACACGTTAACTCAACTGACTGTGGCTCTTATCACAAGAAAAAAAATTTTGTAACTATGTATAGTGACAGATGTTAACTGGTCTTAGTGTGGTGATCATTTCACAATATATACAAATATCCAATCATTATGTTGTACACCTGAAACTAATACATTATTATATGTAGGTTATACTTCAATTAAAAAAAAGCTATCAAGTGTTGGCAAGGATACAGAGAAAAGGGAACACTGGTACGCTGTTGGTGGAAATGTAAATTGGTAGAGCCACTATGGATAATGGTATGGAGGTTTCTCAAAAAAATTTAAAAGAGAACTACCATATGATCCAGCAATCCCACTTCTGGGTATACATCCAACGGAATTGAAATTTTGTTCTTTAACAGATACCTGCACTTCTATGTTCATTGCAGCATTATTCACAATAGCCAAGATATGGAAACAACCTAATGTCCATGATGGATGAGTGGTTAAAGAAAATGTGGCATATACATACAATGGACTATTATTCAGCCTTAAAAAAAAACAACAACAAGGAAATCCTGTCGTTTATGACCACATGGATGGGCCTGGAGGACATTAGGCTAAGTGAAGTAAGCCAGACACAGAAAGGCAAGTACTGTATGATTTACATTATATGTGGAATCTAAAATTGTCAAACTCATAGAAGCAGAGGGTAGATAGTGGTTGTCAGGCACTGGAGTGAGAGGGAAATGAGAAGATGTTGGTCAAGGGGTACAAAGTTTCAGTTATGCAAGATGAATAAGTTCTGGAGATCTAATGTATAGCATGTTGACTACAAATAGCAATACTATACTGTATACTTGAAATCTCCTAAGAGGGTAGATCCTGAGTGTTCTCACCACCAAAAAAAAAAACTATGTGAGGTGATGGATATGTTATTTATCTTGATTGTGGTGATTATTTTACAATATATACATATATCAAATCCTCAAACTGTATACCTTAAATATATACAATAAAAAATTAAAATAGGGGCTGGCCCTGTGGTCTAGTGGTTAAGTGTGCATGCTCCACTTTGGTGGCCCGGGTTTGCAGGTTAGATCCCAGGCACGGACCTACACCACTAGTCAACCATGCTGTGGTGGCGACCCACATACAAAATAGAGGAAGATTGGTGTGGATGTTAGCTCAGGGTGACTCTTCCTCAGCAAAAAAATAAATAAATAAAAATAAAATAAATAAATAAAAATAAAATAAATCTGATGAGATGCTGGGATAATAAGCCAAAGGTTTCTGCTAAACTCTATCCTACAACTCCTGGTGAGAATTCTTGATGCTTCTATACTAAAAATGCAAGAAGGATAGCCAGGGTCCCACATCCCGCCTCTCGTATCTCCTCTGGGACTTGTGGCCTTATCGTCCCGGTATCCTGGCTATTGAGACAGCACATTGAGAACTCTAAAACATAGAGCAGTGAAAGTGAGAGTGATAGTCACTGCCATTAAACTTTACCAATCTCCTGCCTGCCTAATTGTGTCCACTCCACTCCCTGCACCCTACCTAACTTGTTGAACAGCCCAGGTCCATCTAGAGAAAATACATCCAATTATCAAACTGCTTCCTTTTTTGTCCCCCGCAAATGTATTCTTTTCTTCATTACTTCTGATGGAGTGGGGGTGGGGATTTAAGGCTGAGGAAGAAGTTGAAAGATTTTTCTTAATCTTGGCAGCACAGCTGAAGCTCTTGTTACTGAAGACCAATAGAATTGATGCCAAGATCCCCTGGGAGAGGGAGTAGCTGTATATAAGGTTAGAGGGGTAACTGGTAGGAAGGAGAGATGTGAAAACTGGGCAACCAGTCTGATCTACCATGCTAGTGGATCCTGAGCAAACCCAACCTGGATCTTCTGACCCAGTGTAGACCTGTGTAGAGGTGACAGGTCAAAGGAAGTCAGGGGGTTTGTAACAACCTGGAGGGAGGAAGGGTTGGTCATTACCTCCTAGAACTGTTTCAAGAACCGTAGGGAGGAACCCTCAGAAGAGATTGGAAAAAAGGGAAAAGTGGAGGGGAAGGCATGTTTCAGAACTCAAGGATCCTACATCTCTGGCCTAGGATTCCTGCTGCCATATAAGGAAGCAATATGTCTTTCCAAACAAGGGTAGGGAGGCCAATAACAATGGGGTATCTGGCGGACACAAAAAAGAGCAAATACTGAGCCCAGGAGGACGTTGAGCCGGATAGATCTCCTGTTAAGAGGGGACTCTTGATGAACATAGATTCAGGATAGCACAGAACAAGGTGAAAATCTCCTTGGAGCCATCATATATGATGGCTCATGCACAGAATTCTGCCAGTGAGAGTGCTATTTCTCTATGGAATCTGGGGACAGCCGTTCCTCTCCCCAAATCCAAGCCAAGCCCCTTATCTTGAAAACCCCCTTACTTTTAAGATTCTTCTCCCCAAGGATTCCATCTACCTATTCTAGGGAGGGGAGGGGAGACAAAATAAGACAGAACTGGGTTCACCTTGAGTTTTATCCTCCAGGCTGAGTTTTAATCCAAATCCTTATAAACAAAGGTAGTGAATAATTGACACACTGGGTAAAGGACATTGAAGGAAAGGGTTAGGAAGTGTGTGTGTTAACATGCATGAGTGTGTGTGTGTGTGTGTGTGTGTGTGTGGTGTGATATGGAGAGAGAGAATGACGTTTATTATATATATATTATATATATATATACAATATAATATGTATATACATAGAGAGAGACAGAGAGGAGGGGGGAGGAGGGGGAGAGAGAGGAAAGAGGAGAAGAGAGAAGAGATGCACCCACAGTAGAATTCTAGCGATTTATTACTGGAAATTGGGGCTGAAGAAGGTTGAGGCTCTATGAGCCAGGCACTGAGGTAGGTGCTTTGGTCCACACATCTTATCCTCAAACAGTCCTGCGGGGGAGGTGTGGGTGGAGACACCTACATGCACGGAGACTCTTACAGGCTAAGGCATACGAGTGAAAAAGCTGAGATTCCATCTCAGGTCTGTTTGATTCCATTCTTTGTTATGACTTCTCTGAAAAAGCATAAGTTATTGTGTCCTCCTCATTTTATAGCTGAGTTATTGGAAGCCTAATTACATTATAGTAGGAAGAATTTGGGATTTGGAGACAGAGTTTGTTTGAATTCCAGCTTCACCATGTTCCAGTTCCAGGACATTTGGCAAGTCTCTTACCCTATATGGATCTGTTTCCTCACCTAAAAAACAGGATGAATGATCTTTACTTCAGTGAGTTTGGGGGATGGATTACATGAAAGCCTTTGTAACTGTAAAGTTCACTTCCTATATTATTGTTATATTGTTATTGCTATTTTTACAATGTCTTGCCCACTTCCGCTGCCAAAACATCTGTTCATCAGCAGAGAAGTCAGGTCTCTGTATGCGCTTTCCCACATAGAACCCTCAGAGACTCTACTATTGACTCACTATTTTCTCCCCAGAGTCCTGAGGCTGTCCGGAAAAGAATTTGTACTGTTAGAACAGGTTTCCACGTTCCTCCAAGTTTCAGGCTTCTCAATTCCTCACTGGTTCTCAGACTTGAAGCTCAGTTAACCATTCTGAGCACTTTAATGAGATAGGCAGCCTAGAAACCTAGAAAATACTTTTAACTCTCTTTCTTCCTGAATTCCTACAAACCCTTATCTCAAAACGCCTCCTGCCTACTTCAAAAGCTCAAGCCAAGTTCCATTTCCTTTTTGAAGCTTTCCTGACCCATAAGCTCACAGCAAGCCTCCTTTCTTCTGACTTTATGGATAACAACGCCTGGGTCTCAAGCAGCAGCTTCTGGCCCTCCTATTCACCCTAGTCCAAGGGAAGCATGGTTTTGGATGGATGGCTTGATTTACGCTATAGAGGACACAAGGACATCTTAGAGAAAAGTCGACCCTGAGATAAATAAGTTCCTAGGTTGTATACCCAATTAACTCCTAGAAGAATTTCAGATTGATGCCATCCTCTAAATTAGGATGACAAAGATTTGCTATTGTCCCTTCCATTGAGGAGATGGCGAGAGAGCGGACACATGAAAGTCCCCACCTTCCCCAACCAGGAAATAAGTACAGCCAGAAGAGGGATGGGAGACAGAGGACTCTAGTTCTCCCACAGAGCGTATCCAATCTAAGGACTTTTGAAGATCATCATTAACCCCATTTACCTTTTCTGCTGCCTGGAGGTCCTTCCTGCCTTTTGTTCTTGATCCTGGAAGACATGCTGTGCCATTTGTCCCTGAAAAGAAATCAGAGACTCTGGAGCTAAAGATGGAGATAGCTCTAGGCCCTGGGGAGGCATAAATCAATAGGGGGAGAGAGCAGGTGTATAGTGAGAAGTAAAGCGCTTACCCACTGTAGAACTATCAGGACAGGTGTCTCAGTAGTTCAGGAAGCATATGTGTTTTGAAAGGGTCAGTGTGTATGTCTGCGTGTTTGTGTATGTTCATATGTGTAAAGAAAGATAAGGGGGAAAGGAAGGAAGCATTTGCCCCAGGCAAAGTCTCCCTGACCTCTTTTTCAGTAAGAACAGAAAATCCAGTGAGAAGGTGGGTGAAAAAAAAAAAACAGAAATAATCTAAGTAAAAAGTAATAGTTGGCTGAGATTGGCGCTAGGGAGTTGGCCAGAGGCTCCTTGAGGTGAAGGTGGGCTCTAAGGCAAGGATAGGAAGTAGTGTATAATGAATATAAGACTGGCAAATTCGCCTCCCCTCCCACCTCACAGTCAGAGTCTTTGAGGGTAACTGATGGTAGCACTACAGGCTGGAGGTTGTCAGGTCCAGCCCTCAAGTGCTTTGTAGGGAAGGAGGGAAACCCTATACTGATACTATCAGAAACACATGGGGCTGAGAAGCCAAAGCAGTGAGCCAGACAAGAGTTAAACCCTCCTTTGAGAAGTTTCCCCACTTCCAAACCCCAACAAGAACTAGGCTGATTATGCCCCAAAACTTACCCAGGTGGGCTCCCCAAACACACTTCACCCCACCCCTTCCCCCTAGAATTTCTTATCTTTTAGCGCCATCTCACAACAGCCCCATCTCATCTGCTCCCCTATCAACTTTACCCTTTTCAACTCTTCTGTGACCTCAGTTGTGACCTCATAGATCTGAGACAACTGGCTTTCCCCTCCCACCCTCAGCCCAGGCTCCATTCAATCCAAATGATAATGATAAAATGATGAGATAATATTGTGAAATTTTAATTTTAATTTCTGGGAAATTTTGCTGCTTCACTGACCTCTACCCGTTGCGTGAGACATCCGGTGCTTCTGAGAGAGAGTAGGAATGAGCCCAGAAGAATTCATTTTTTACTCTGATTTTCAAAACAGAGTCTGAAAAATTTGGCTTTCAATTTCATGAGCTAGGTCCTTGAGAGAAATAGTTTTGTTTTGAATTCTCAAAGTCTTTGACTTGGAAGATTACCAAAGATCGGTAAATGATCACGGCTGTAAAGCCTCAGAGGGGATGAAAACAGTTTTCCTGCAGGAAAAAAAAAAAAAAAAGACAAGTGCTGAAAAGAAGGTAGGAAGTAAATATTACATAAGTTAGACATAGGCGTGCAACTCTGAGAGGGAGCTGCTTCTTTTTGGTGGTGGCACATGAAAAATCCCCCAATATGTTTAACAATCTGAGAAGAGAAGGGACCAAGGACCCACTTCCCTGCAACTAGAACCCTAGGAGGAACAGCCTCAGGGAGGTTGCTGTGCCAACGTGGGGAGGTTGTGATAAAATGGGAATTGTGGTGTGGTATGTTTAGGCAGACAGGGAGTAAGATGGCACCTTGAAGTGCCCCACAGCCTGCCCAGGTGATGGTGGGAAAGATCCAAGTGATCCCTCATGCAGAAGTAGAGTGGAGGAGAGGTCTGAAATCTGAAAAGGACTCACATGTGCTCCCTGTGGCAAAAGGCCATGGTAGGTTCATGGACAAAGGTGTGGACATTTGCTTGTCTCTCTACCTATCTTCGGCAGGATTTAAGGGAAGGCACACTATCCATCCTTGGTTTTGAAGGGAGATTTTAGGGCTCCAGGTGCTACTAATGAGACCACCTTGGTCCCTCCCTAAACATCACCTTTTTACTATTATGAACTGCTTAAAAAGTCAGTCACCAGAAGGGGCTCTGATTAGAGATGACCCTCTCCCTCCCTCTAAAAGACCATTAGGGCCATTCCCGTCATGACCTACCTCCCTATTTGTCTTAGTTTTCACAAGAAGTCTAAACTACTCCCTCCATCATACCTCATCACAGGGACTTTTATCCTTTTATGGCCAGACATATCCCATAATCTAACTCGTTACTACCTCTCTCTAACCACCCTAAATCTTTCACTTGCCAAAACCGAATTCTTGATTCCACCCTCCTTGAAAACTTGTTCCTTCTCATCACGTTAAATGATGCCACCATTTGTCCACTTGGTTAGCCTAAAAACCTTGGAATCATCATTGAGTCCTCTCTTTTTCTGTCTTACATCAGAAAATCCTATTGGCTGTACCTTCAATGTGTCTCCTGAATCTGATCACTTCTCATCCAGGCCAAGCCATGTCATTTATCTCCTGGATTACTGCTGAAGCTCCTAATCGGTCCATTCTTATCTTCCTGCAGCAGCCAAAAGGATCATTTTAAGATGCACAAAGGTCACGTCACTTCCTTCCTCAAAACCCTGTGTTCCCTTTGCATCATGCTTAGAACAAAGTACACAGTCCTTCCACATCCAGGCCTGCCCTTCAGATATCCTTTCCTACCCACCTCTGTCCTGCTCATTCTGCTGCAGTCACACTAGTTGCCTTGCTTTTCCTCAAGTGAGCCAAAAATGCTGCTGTCTCATGGTTTTCATACCTGCTGTCCCTTCGTCCCAGAACACTCTTCTCCCAAACATTTGTTTGGCAGCCTCAGTCACTTCAGGTCTCTGCTCAAATGACACTTCCTCAGCGAGGTCTTCCAGCAGCTGCCATCACTGACTAGTCCTTTATTTTGATTTGCCTTTCTTTTAATCATCACTGGACATTATAATATAAATACCTATTAGTTGTGTTTGTCTGTCTGTTTCATCTCATAGAATGTAAACACCATGCTGGATTTTGTCTTATTTATTATTGATTGTATTTACAGTGCCAAGGACTATGTCTGGAATATAGAAAGAACTCAAATGTATGTCGAATGAATAAGCCAATCAACAGTACAGACACTTCCCCAAAAGGCACGGGTGGGAAGCCATTGCCTTGCTATTCCAGGCCAGTGATGAGGATGTAAAGGGAATCCCACAGAGGAGAGGCACCCTTTCTCTGCAAACAGAAGTCACCTAGAGGAAAGAGGAGAAAAACATCTAAGTTGTCAGTGTGTAACACACAAAGACTAAATTCAGACTCAATTTTTGAGAAGGTTTTTGAGGTACAATTGACATACAATAAATAGCACATATTTGATAATTTGGGGCATGTATATACACCCTCATCAATAAAAATAAGGCAATGAATATATCCATGACTCAAAAACTTCCTTGCACCCCTTTGTAATCCTTTATCTAGCCCTTCTCTGCCATTTTCACCTCTCCATCCTCAAGCAACCACTGATATGCTTTCTGTCATTCTACTATGCATTTTATAGAATTTTATATAAATAAAATTATACAACATGTACTTTTTTGTATGAAATTTTTTGCTCAGAATTTTATTTTGAGATTCATTCATGTTACTGTGTATTTTAATAGTTCAATCCTTATTCAGACATAGAAAGGAAGGGAAACCTGCCATTTGTGACGACATGGATGACTCTTGAGAGCATTATGCTGAATGAAATAAGTCATACAGATACTGTATGATTTCACTTATATGTGGACTCTAAAAAAGCCAAACTCACAGAAACAGAGAGTAGAATGGTGGTTGTCAGGGGCTGGGGTGGGCGTGGGGGATGAGGAGATGTTAGTCAAAGAGTACAAACTTCCAGTTAGAAGATGAATAAGTTCTGGGGATCTAATGTACCGCATGGTAACTATAGTTAACAATACCGTATTGTATACCTGAAAGTTTCTAAGAGGGTAGATCTTAAATGTCACCACCACAAACAGAAAAAAAGGTAACTATGTAAGGTGAAGGATGTGTTAACTAATCTTATTGTGGTAATTATTTCACACATATATGTATATCAAATCATCACATTGTACACTTTATACTTATACAACGTTATATATGAATTTTATCTCAATAAACCTGGAAAAAAAAAGTTCATTTTTATTGTTGTGTAGTATTCTGTTGTATGGTGTATTAGTTTCTTAGGGCTGCTGTAACAAATTACCACAAACTTGACGGCTTCAAACAACAGAAATTTATTCTCTCACAGTTCTGGAGCCCAAAAGTCTGACATCAAAGTTTTGGCAATGTCGGGAGAGAGGGAGAAATCTCCCTCTGCCCTTTACCTTAAGGTTCTTATGGCTGGCCAAATAATTAACAAGACAGGTTAGCAGGAGAAAATAGTACCAAGTTTAATAACATGTATACATGGGAGAAACTCAGAAATGAGCAACTCGTCCCTCTGTCTAAGCTGCCCCCTTAAGTATTGTAGCTAAAGGCGAGGAAGGTGTTGGGGGTGGGTAGTGGTCTGGGACTTCAGAGGGCAAGAAGACAACTCACATGGAGATAGAAATGCAAATGTTTGCCTGACAACTCTTCTCAGGGTCATCTATAGATAATGTGGTCAGGGAGAGATAGAGTTTTTGATAAAAGGGGCTTGGTGCCTTTCCTATTGTAACCTCTATCCTACATTATCTTTACAGCCATCATGATAATAACTCCTTCCTGAAACAGATCTTTTGTTTTAAATTCTTTAGGCAGTTTGGGAGGGGAAACTCAAATATTCTTCCTGAGTTCTCTGAGTCCTTATTGTCTTCAGCTCGAAATAATCCACATACCAGAGTGGTGCCATCTGGGGTAGCTTGCCCTGAGCACCATCAGCAGGGTTGATCCCTTCTAGAGGCTCTGAGGGAGAATTGGGTTCATGCCTCTCTCTTAGCTTTGGGTGGCTTCCAGCAATACTTGGAGTTCCCTGGCTTGCAGATGTATCACTCCTATCTTGGTCTTCGTCTTCACATCACCTTCTCCTCTGATGTGTCTGTTTCTCCCCTTCTCTTTTCTTATAAAGACACTTGCCATTGGATTTAGGGCCCACCCTAATCTAGGATGATCTCATCTCAAGATCCTTAATTACACCTACAAAGACCCGTTTTCCAAATAAAGTCACACTTACCGGTTCCAAGTGGACATATCTTTAAGGGGGCCACCATTCAACCCACTAATATAGATATACCACAGTTTGTTTATCCATTTACTAGTTGACGGACATTTGAGTTGTTTTCAGTTTGGTTTCATTGACTTCCCTTTGTTTGTCTGTTTTCTGTTTCAGTGATGTCCACTGTAATCTTTATTATTCCTTTCTCCTACTTACTTCGGATTTTATTTGCTCTTCTTTTTCTAGCTTCTTAAGGTCATTAATATTAGACCTTTTTCCTTTTTTCTATAGACAGTTAATGCTATAAATTTCCACCTAATTACTGATTTAATTGTATCCCACATATTTTGAAATATTGTTTTCATTTTTATCTAGTTCAAAATACTTTTTAATTTCCTGTTTTGATTTCATCTTCAACCCTTGGGTTATCAGGTTGTGTGTTAGTTAGTTTCCAAATTTTGGATATGTTTCAGATATCTTTTTGCCATTGATTTCTACCTTAATTCCATTGTAGTCAGACAGAATACTTTTATGACTTGAATTTTTTGTTTGTTTTTCAGTTTTATTGAGATATGATTGGCATGCATCACTGTATAAGTTTAAAGTGTATAGTATAATGGTTTGACTTACATATACTGTGAAGTGATTACCACTGTAAGTTTAGTTAGCATCCCTCATCTCATATACATACAATAAAAAGAGAAAACAATAAAAAAGAAAAGAAAAAAAATTTTTCCCTGTGATGAGAACTCTTAGGATTTACTCTAACAGTTTTCGTATATATCGTACACCAGTGTTAACTATAATCA